CGTTTCTTTTTTGTAATTTTCTTTGGTATGTTTATTTTGTTCAATTCTTGGTTTCTCTATTCTGTAAGTTTCTGTGGCATGTTTACGTTGCTTTGCTTTTTTTTTTTTTTTATCTTGCTAATTGTGGAATGAAAATTTTCTCTGGCTTGCCATGTTTATTAGTACTCTGACATTTAATTTTCAGTGTCTAATTTTTTCTGACATTTATAATTTTCTCTGGCCACCTTAGTTTTCTTTCTTATGTGTAATTTTCTCTGACATGTTCAATTTTCTCTAGTATGTTTAATTTTTTTTTGGAATTTAATGTTGACATCTTTATGTTTTCATTGTCTAGAAATGGCGAAACGTAAAAGTAGCAAAACACCAGAAATACCAAGAAAGAAACAGAAACTCTGTGAGTCTTATGATTTTAGATCAAAAAGCAGCAAAACACCATAAACTCCTTACCAAAAAATAGAATTCCAAGGTGATGAAGCAACAAGCATCAAGATGAATACCCCAACTTCAAAAGACTCAAGCTCAAGGGGAAAAAAACCTATTAAACTCCAAAGAAAGAGAGCTCAATACAGCATTCAATACCGATCTAACCTTTCATCTATTGTCTCATTTTTTCAAACACTTAAATTCAATTCAAACCAACTTGAAGAGCTTCAAAAGACTCCATTCTGGTATTTGATCCAAGCTCTAAACTGGAAGAATGGACCCAAGGAAGTCTAGGAAATCTGATGATGATGTAGTTGCAATAATCCAACGTTATAATGAAAAAACGAAAGCATTCACAATTGGTAAAAAGAACTTGACCTTTACAACCAATGACATGACCTTGATTTTTGGTTTACAAGGTGGTAAAGGAGCCATGTCATTAAGATACTCAAAAAAGCTAAACACTGCATTCCTAAGGCTTAGATTCCCCATGGACACAAGGCTCACTAGTCCTGTTCTTAAGAATGCCTTGGTCAAAGCAATGAAAGGCAAGCAACCAACTGACTTAAAAAATGTAGCAATCATTGTTGCCTTATACTTGTGTCTCACTTTGTCTTTGCAACAAGTGGGAATTTAATAGAGTGGGTTTTTATCAAGTACATGGAACCTCTTGAATCAATGAAGAAGTATGATTGGCTAGAAGCAATCACAGCAACATTGATTGATTCTATAACAACATTGCACAATTGAATTCCCAAGATGTGCCAAGTGGAACCTGCGAAGCTTGACCAAATAGTTGCAGAAGACACCGATCCACTCTCTCACACCTCGATTGGTTAGATTTCTATCGCCACTGAAGTCTCAATGAAATTCCAAAATTTCTCTGACCACTAGTTTGTTTCCCTCCTTGTGCCTTGCTTGATTTGATCAATTTTCTTTGTGATGCAATATCTTATATGGAATAACTTAAGTGCCTTGACTGATTGAGATCAATTTTCTCTAAAATTTCAATTTATGTTGCTTCTTTGATTACCACTGGTTTATTTTTGCCCTTGTAATTAATTCTCTCTGGAATCCAAATTTATCTGACCACAGTTATAATAATATTAACTTATATGTCTTGATTGATTTTTGCTGATATTTAAATTATGTTGCTTGTTTCATAATTTTCTCTGGCCTATAAAATTATTTCTCCTTGTGTGTAATTTTCTCTGGCCCATAACTTATGTGCCTTGACTAATTGAGATCAATTTTCTCTGAAATTTCAATTTATATTACTTCTTTGATTACCACTGGTTTATTTCTGTCCTTGTAATGAATTCTCTCTAGAATCCAATTTTTTTTTACCACAATTATAGTAACATTAACTTATATGCCTTGATTGATTTTCTCTGATATCTAAATTATGTTGCTTGTTTCATAATTTTCTCTCTCCCATCCTTGATTGATTTTCTCTGACCACTGGCATTTGGTTGATCTTATTTAAAATTTTCTCTTAGTGAAATTTTAATATTTCTCTAATAAAAGAGCCTTCTATTACAGATAGATAACAAGGAGCTAGTTAAAACCCCATCAGAGGAGTTTTGTCTTGGTAAAAAGAAGAAGAAAGAAGTAAAAAAGGCATTGGCCAAATTCAAGGAGACATTAGAAGATTCATCTGAAGAAGAAGGAGGGAGCGAAGAAAGAGAATGCAACAAAGAAGAAGAAGAAGCAAGCAACGGAGAAGAAGATCAAGCAAACAGTGCAGAAGAGGAAGCTACAGAAGAAAATGAAGAAGTTGAAGACAAAGAAGAAATGAACTGAACGAAGAAGAAGACAATGAAGAAGAAGATGCATGCACTGAATTTAAAGAGGAAGAAGAAAACAATGAGAAAAAGGATGAAGAAGAAAACAATGAGCCAATGAACCAACATCATGATAGCATTTGTGGCTCAACAATGCATCAGTCTTAAGAATTTGAGGAATCACATGATGCTCAAATTGTTAATCTATATCAAAGACTAAAGGCACTTTCTAAATCCAAAATTGAAGAAGAGAAAAATTGGAATCAATTACTCGACGAAAAGGACATTGCAATAAGAACCTTGAAATCAAATAATTCAGAACTTCAAGAAAGAGACAACACAAACCAAATGAAACTAAGGATGTTAGAGATTCAAAGAGAAGATGATAGAAAAACAATTCAACAGTTGAGGCGTTCAATTGCAACGCTTGAAACTAAAAATGCTAGATTGCATGAACAAATTCAAGAACTATCCGTCCAACTAGCAACACAACCTTGCCGAACACCAACACAAGTTCAACCCCAAGGTCAGTGAAAATCTTGAACCACAAAAAGTTATGTTCTTGTGTCAACATAACTCAGAGAAATTTCTATTTACTAAAATTTTCTGTCAATGGTAATTTTCTCTGGAATTTAAATTTCTCTAGCTACATTAGTTTGGCCAGTTTAATTTCTGCTGCTTATTTGATTTTCTTTATCTATTTGGTTCCATATGTATGTAATTTTCTCTAGATTTTGTAACTTCTTTGACCACATTGATTTTTGGGGCTTGTTTGATTTTCACCGTGTATAGTTGGAATGCAAATGGAAAAACAACCAATCACCCAACAAGAAAAACTGGCACATAAACAACAACCAAAACAAAAGACAAAAGTCTATGGTAACTGGAAAATATTAAATCTGTGGGGGCCGAATAATAATATACTAAGGAAAACCAAATTCATTTGAAGGAAAATCAGGACAAAGGCGATTCGGCTCTGTCCAAAAGGGTCTTGAAGCCAAATATTTAAATCGACCGAGCAATCGGCCATACAAGGAGCCGAGTACGAACTGGCATACAACTGAAAGGCTGAATAAGCAATCATGCACTGGATTAAGAGTGGGCCCGACCCTTGGGACTAGATATTAGTATAAATAGAGGAACACTAACCAAAGAAAGGTATGTGAGAATAGATTAAATAACTTGAGATAGAAGTAAACTGGAGAGCATAGTAATTTGTCCGTCGGAGTGCTAATTCCGGCACCCCCGATCGGAGTGTTCATCCTTTTCAGGTGGCAATCAGAGGATCAAGAACGTCTTACTGGATCTTGGAGTATTTCCAAACCACATCTCCACAATTGCCGCCGTCTGTGGGAATACTCAAGCACATCTATGGCGGGAGTAACAGATGATCCTCTGGTAGTCGCTTCTTGGAGTATTTCCAAACCACATCTCCACAATTGCCGCCGTCTGTGGGAATACTCAAGCACATCTATGGCGGGAGTAACAGATGATCCTCTGGTAGTCGCTGATGATATTACGCCAAGAGATGACGTCACTCCAAGAAACATGCTTGGACCGGAGAATATCACCGCACGACGGGCCTTGAACTTCGACTCAGTAGCTCAGACCTCACTCGCGACATCAGCGCATGAGACGATGCAGACAATCATGGATCAAGCAAAGCAAAATGAACAGCATCTAGAAAACATGACAGCTAAGAATGAGCGCATGCACCAGGAGTTGGCCCTGGAGGTGGCAAAATCCCAATAGGACGCATGCCATGACTGGGGTCGATCTTCAAGAAAGAAGGATGATCGACGACATCAACTTCGAAAACACGATAATGACAGTGATTTTGACTTATCATCCCCGCAACCCAGAAAGAAGGAACAAGTCGATATATCCAGCTCATCAGAAGGAAGTCCGTATGTACGGCACAAGCGAGGGAGAAGAAGTGATAATTCGAATGAGGAAGATAAGCATGACCCTTTTATGCGACGAATTGCAAGGGCAATGCTACCCAAGAAGTTCAAAGCACCGTCGTTCACCCTGTACGACGGAAAATCAGTCCCCACTGATCATATTCGTCATTATAAACAGGCGATGACACTGCATGCTGACGATGAAGCCCTTATGTGTCGAATGTTTCCGAGCAGTCTGGGACGACTGGTCGTCAGATGGTACTATAAACTGAAACCGGCATCGATTAAAAGCTTCCATCAACTCCAAAAGTCTTTTAGGGCAAGATTCATCACCAATGAAATCCAGCCAAAGCAAGCCGATTCTCTCTGGGCAATGTAAATTAAACCAGAAGAAACCCTTCGTGAATATTTGGCACGCTATTGGGAATGCTTTAACCTGGTAGACGATGCTTGCAATGACTCCATGGCCATCATTGCCTTTAAGATGGGATTACATCCTGATAGTCCCCTTCGCAGTTCGTTGACCAGACGACCCCCCAAAATAGTCTGGGCGTTAATGAAGAAAGTTGAAGAATATTGCAAAATGGAAGACGATACCTTGCAGGTCAAAGCCGAACAGAAAGCCGTTAAGATAGCTTCGCCTGGAATCGTTTAGCCGATAAGCGTCATGTTATCAAGGAACCCTGAACCGCAGAATCCGTCTAAACGAGACAAAAGGCATGACTCGCGCCGATCAAATGATTAATGTTCACACCGATCGAATGAACAATATCAAGTGAATAGCAGGCGCACAAGACACTCGGACAAAAAGTACACGGAGTTAGCAGACTCGGTCAGCAATATTTTGTCAAAAGTTCAACACTTTTCGTTCTTTAAATGGCCGTCCAAAATGATTGGACCTCCTAATACTAAGAGAAGGGACAAGCGATATGAATACCACAAGGACCATGGTCATGACACCGACAGTTGTTATGCACTGAAGGACCACTTGGAGGAACTGGTACAAGACGGCCGGCTGGCGCAACACGTCCGAAAGAATAATCCATCGAACGCGGTAGCCATACGGCCAGATTCATCTCCACTGGGTGTAATTCACATGATATACAACCTGCCGTCGTCAACCGAGATACAGATAATTCAGTTACAACCTAGCCTCCATAGGCTGATCACACCAGCAAAACGACCCCATGAAACTGGGAGGATTAGTTTCGACAACACCGATTTAGTTGGAGTAACTCTTCCACACGCCGATCCCCTAGTCATTGAGCTACGCGTCAACAAATTCACCATTGAACGTGTTCTCATCGATTAGGGAAGCACTTTGGAAATAATGTATTATAAGACGTTCGTTAAACTCGGCTTCACGGACTCAGATTTGTTGCCGGCCGATTACCCATTATTCGGCTTCAACGCTAACCCTGAGTATCCATTGGGCAGGATCACATTACTAGTTTGGGCGGACACCAGATCAGTCGATGTAGAATTTCTGGTCGTCAAACTTCCGTCACTATACAATCTCATCATGGGAAGAACTTGGTTGCATACAATGCAAGCTATTCCAAGCACTTACCATCAATTACCTCATTTTCCGACCGAGTATGCATTGAACAAATTCGGGGTTCTTAAAAATTAGCACATGCATGCTACCTTGTTGCTGCTGCAAAGAGACTAAAGGAAATGGAAGTGAATTCAATTGAAGTACCAGATCGGGAGAGTCTCGAGGATATTGGGAAGATCCCTAGTGAAAAGGCAATTGAAGATTTGGATCGGATCGAAATTAATGGGAGTTCTAACAAGTTCTTCATGATCGACACTTCCCTAACCGAAGTTGGCAGGCACAAGCTTGTATCTTTTTTACTCGGCAACCTCGACATGTTTGCATGGACGCCATACGAGATACCGGGGGTGGATCCATCTGTGGCCCAACATTGCTTAAATGTTGATCCAAAATGTAAACCAATCATTCAGAAAAGTCGGTGGTCAGCTGCGGAGCATGCTTAGAAGTTGATCGATTGCTTGATGCTGGGGGAATCTGCGAAGTTACCTACCCTACATGGATATCCAATATGGTGGTCGTAAAGAAGAAGAATGGATATTGGCATGTTTGTGTGGATTTCACAGATTTAAACAAATATTGTCCCAAGGATTGTTTTCCTCTCCCCAGAATAGACCAACTTGTAGATGCAACGGCGCATCATCAACGCATGAGCTTCTTGGACGCCTACAGAGGCTATCCCCAAATTGTTATGCGCCCGGAGGACCAAGAAAAGACTGCATTCCTCACCTCGAGAGGAACCAATTGCTACAAGGTCATGCCTTTCGGGCTGAAGAATGCGGAGGCAACTTACCAGAGACTAGTTATCGCCATATTCAAAGAACAGCTCGATCGTACCATGGAAGTATACATTGACAACATGGTTGTCAAATCCAAGGAAAAGCACACCCATCTAGCCGACTTGGTAGAGACATTTGGCATTCTTCGAAAGTACAAAATAAAACTGAAAGCCTCAAAGTGTGCATTTGGCATCAGTTCCAGCAAATTCCTTGGATACATTGTTAACTACTGCGAAATAGAGGCCAACCCGAGGAAAATCATGGCAATTCTAGAACTCGACTCTCCTCGGTCGGTCAAAGAGGTTCAGAAGCTAATGGGAATGGCCATCGCACTCAACAGGTTTATCATCTGTTTTACAGATCGTTGCCGACAATTCTTTCATACACTCTGGCAAAGTAAAGCCTTTGAATGGACCCTCGAGTGCCAGGCCGCTTTGGACGGTTTGAAAACTTACCTCTGATCAATACCACTATTGGCAATCCCCTCGACAGGTGATCCGCTCATTCTATACTTGGCGGTATCTGACCAGGCGGCTAGCACCGTACTTTTAAGAGAAGAACTCGAGGAGCAGCGACCAGTTTACTATGTAAGCAAAGCAATGGCTAATGCCGAAACACGCTATTTACCAATGGAAAAGCTCATCCTTGCTCTCATTATGGCTACAAGAAAACTAATGCATTATTTGCAGGGGCATACCATAAGGGTACTAACGGACTATCCCCTCTGGTCAGTGCTTCGTAGCGCGGAAGCATCAGGGCGCATTTCAAAGTGGGCTTTGGAACTCGGCCAGTATGATATCCAGTTTCTGCCTAGAACTTCCATCTAGGGGCAAGTTCTTGCCGATTTTGTAGCCGAATTCTAACTTCAAGTCCGATCAAATACAACCTAAACCCAACTGGAGGATATATATTGGAGACATTTGGCAGATGTACTGTGATAGGTCATCTAACCAACGTGGCAGTGGGGCAGGCGTAGTAATCATGACCCCTAAAGGGGTAATAATCGAGCAGGTGGTCAAACTAGGCTTCGATGCATCAAACAATGAGGCCGAATACGAAGCATTACTAACTAGTCTACGGAATGCGCTTCACCGTGGTGCACGACGGTTGCTTATTTTCTGTGACTCGAAGTTAGTCATCAACCAGTTGAAAGGGGAATATGCAGCTAAAAATGACCGTATGGTAGCCTACATGAAAATGGTGAATTCCTTGCTCGCAAAATTCGACCACCATGAATTGAATCAAATAACCCGTGATCAGAACACGTATGCGGATGCCCTGGCTTGCCTAGCCTCTGCCATCGATTCAGAAATCAGACGGACAATCGAAGTAGGATTTGTCCCTAAGCCGAGCATTACCTCTTCTGAAACAGTTCAGATTAACAGAATCAGGTCCAAGTTGGATGGACCCCATTGCTGCATTCATTTCCTTAGAGCAACTCCCAACGAATAAGAAAGAAGCCCACAAACTGTGAAATAAAGCCCTGTGATACTACTTGGATCCGTATGGAAAGCTCTACAAAAAATCCCTTTCTGGACCGTATTTAGAATGCGTTCATCCAGACAAAGTTGAGGAACTCTTGGTTGAAATACATGAAAGTAGCTGTAGCACCCATTCTGGAGGACGCTCATTAGCCTATCAAGTTGTAACACAAGGGTATTATTGGCCGACCATGCGAACAGATGTCGAGAGCTATGTCAAGAAATGCGAACAATGCTAGAAGTTTTCCCCTTTAACTCATCTACATGCCGAGGAGTTCAGCTCAATCACTAGTCCTTGGCCATTTGCTCAATGAGGACTTGATATCGTTGGACCATTACCACGGGCTTTAGGGAACAAGCGATTCCTAATTGTCGCAATAGATTATTTCACAAAATGGATCGAAGCAGAGGTATTAACACGTATTCGAGATGTCGATGTTAAGCGTTTTGTATGAAAAAACATCATAACACGATTCGGCATACCAAGAGCACTTGTCTCAGACAACAGTACCCAATTTGATTGTGGCGTCTACCTAAAATTATGCAACACATATGGTAGGCCATACTTTTCCTCATCGGCCTATCCACAAAGCAATGGTCAAGCTGAGTCCTTTAATAAAATCATCCTGGACGGAATCAAGAAAAGATTGGAAAAAGCTAAAGGTAGATGGGTCGAAGAGTTGCCTAGTGTGTTGTGGGCTCATCGCATTACCCCAAGGCGATCCACTGGGGAAACGTCGTTCGCTTTATGCTTTGGAACCCAGGCAATTCTCCCCCTAGAAATCGGCCTACCTTTGCTGAAATCCAAGGTTTTTGACATGGGCCGTAATGACATGATGTTGGCTTTAGACTTGACTCTGATCGAAGAACGCCGAGATTGTGCCCTAGCATACATGGCGCGGTATCAGCAACAACTCACTAAATCATACAATCAGCGCGTACAGTTGCGTCGTTATACACCTGGAGAACTGGTCCTCAAAAAGGTATTACTTGCTACCAAGAATCTGACAGACGAAAAGTTAGGCCCCAACTGGGACGACCCTTATCAGGTTGATTCAATCGCCGGAACAGGGTCATATCGGCTCAAAGACATGGTTGGGAGAAGTTTGCCACACCCTTGGAATTCCACACAGTTGTGCAAATTTTATCATTAAGCCAACCTGTACGGCATGCTAGCTTGCTTTGAATTTCCGCTGATGTATGAATTTTTACTACTATGTATGTATTTCTTTTAAATTCCCCAATGCAATTCCCTTTCCTATCCCAGTCTTGTTAATAATGGTTTGATAACAGAAAAGACTCCGAATTCGGAGCCCCATCCGTGGAAGCCATGTTTGGGCCGAATAAGCCTCCGAATTCGGAGTGCCCTTCGTGGATATCACAATTGGCCAACACAAAAAGACTCCGGATTCGGAGCCACATCCGTGGAAGCCACGTTTGGGCTGAATAAGCCTCCGAATTCGGAGCACCCTTCGTGGATGTCACAATTGGCCGACACAAAAAACTCTGGATTCGGAGCCCCATCTGTGGATGCCACGTTTGGGCCAAATAAGCCTCCGAATTCGGAGTGCCCTTCGTGGATGTCACGACTGGCCAACACAAAAAGACTCCGAATTTGGAGCCCCATTCGTGGAAGCCACATTTGGGCCGAATAAGCTTCCGAATTCGGAGCGCCCTTCGTGGATGCCACGATTGGCCAACATAAAAAGACTCTGGATTCGGAGCCCCATTCGTGGATGCTACGCTTGGGCCGAATAAGTCTTCGAATTAGGAGTGCCCTTCGTGGATGCCATGATTGACCAACATAAAAAGACTTCGGATTCAGAGCCTCATCCATGGATGCCACGCTTGGGCCGAATAAGCCTTTGAATTCGATGTGCCCTTCATGGATGTCACGATTGGCCAACACAAAAAGACTTCGGATTCGGAGCCCCATCCGTGGACGCACGCTTGGGCCGAATAAGCCTTCAAATTCAAAGCGCCCTTTGTGGATGTCACGATTGGCCAACATAAAAAGACTCCGAATTTGGAGCCCTATCTGTGGATGCTACGTTTGGGCCGAATAAACCTTCGAATTCAGAGCACCCTTCGTGGATGTCACGATTGGCCAACATCAAAAGACTGCGAATTCGGAGCCCCATCCATGGAAGCCACGTTTGGGCCGAATAAGCCTCCGAATTCGGAGCGCCCTTCGTGGATGTCACGATTGGCCAACACAAAAAGACTTCGGATTCGGAGCTCCATCCGTGGACGCCACACTTGGGTCGAATAAGCCTCCGAATTCAGAGTGCCCTTCGTGATGTCACGATTGGCCAACACAAAAAGACTCCAGATTTAGAGCCCTATCTATGGACACCACGAGTGCCCTTTGTGGATGTCACGATTGGCCAACACAAAAAGACTCCGGATTTGGAGCCCCATCTGTGGAAGCCATGTTTGGGCTTGTAACAAGCCCGCGGGGGACCTCGCCACAGCTCGGACCCGACTTTGTAGTCAC